GATGCATGAATGGATGTATGACAGGGACGCATGCATGCATGGATGCATGAACAGATGCATGAATGGATGGATGACAGGGACGCATGCATGCATGCATGGATGCATGAATAGATGCATGAATGGATGTATGCATGCGTGCATGAATGGATGGATGGATGGATGGATGGATGTCCTCTGATGACCATCGATCTCGATCCTATCGACTTGTAGTTTATTCGTTGTGGTTGATGGAAAACCGAAATGCCGGTATGGAATTTCTCTCCAGGAGTCGCTCGCATACAATGTGTATTTCGGGAATCTTTCCATGTGTATTTTTTGGAACCTTTTGAGTCCAGTGTTTCGACTTGCCATGCAGTTTTCAAATCTTTTGAGAAATCCTTTGTGAGGATTATATATATATGCCATCCCATTCTGCATGCCTCAGACTGGCAGAGGCATGAGAATGGGTATGTGATCCTCTCCAGGAGTGGCGCAACAATGTGTATTTTACTATTTGGGGAATATTTCGATGTGTATTTTTACTATTTTACTATTTTTGGAATGTTTCGACAATTGGACCACCACCGCATTCTGAATGTAGGGGAGCCCCCGAAGCGGCATGATGATTGGTATCGTATGGAAGCCGCCTCTCTCCAGGACTGGTTCAACAATACAAGTCAAATTGTTTTTTTTTTTGTTTTTTTGTTTTTTACTTTTTTTTGCAGCGTAGATAAGGCTTAGTGAACGTCGTCATGGACCAGGTTGGAGGTCCCTTCTCAATTAATCAATGGTTAGCTCTCATTGATTTGTAATCATTGACTTGGAATGTCAATGATTGGCGTCATAAGGCTTTGCTGCTGCTGCAACAAGAGGGTTCAGTGTATGGGGACGGATGGGATTAGTAGGGGGTTTCCCGTGGAGCGGTGGATTGATAGATGGCGGACATAGCGTAATGGTAGAGTATAGCCTTGGCAAAGCTAATGGGGTTGAGGGTTCAAATTCCAATCCCTTTTTCCGCTCGCCAGCTTCGTTCGCTGCCTGGGGACGAAAAGAATGGAGCCGACACCACCCCACCCTGGGGTGGGGTGGG